CCACTATATCTGCAATGGAATATGCCTTAGCACACTACTGTGTTTCCATATAGACCAGATGATGAGAAACAAACAAAATATTTAAGCACATTGAATAGGTTGTGCTCCCACGGATTTACTCATTCAACAAATATTTTTTGAGTCTTCCACTTGCCAGGCTAACCTGAGTACTAAGGGGACAGCAGTGAGCAAAACAAATGTTAATGCAGGAAGAGCCCTTGTTTTCATGTAGCTTTCATTCCAATTTCGTTGAGAAATAACAGGTAATATGAAAAGCAGTGATACGAGCTTCCCTAGTGGCACAGTGGTTAAGAATCTGCCTGCCAGTGCAGGGGACACGGGTTCAAGCCCTGGTCCGGGAAGATCCCACATGCCACAGAGCAACTAAGCCCATGCGCCACAACTACTGAGCCTGCACTCTAGAGCCCACAAGCCACAACTACTGAGCCCGACTACTGCAACTACTGAAGCCCACGCGCCTAGAGCCCGCTCTGCAACAAGAGAAGCCACTGCAATGAGAAGTCCACGCACCGCAACGAAGAGCAGCCCCTGCTCACTGCAACTAGAGAAAGCCCGCGCATAGCAACGAAGACCCAATGCAGCCAAAAATGAATAAATTAATTAATTAAAAGCAGTGATAAGTATTAGGACAAAAAAATAAAGCATGATAAAAGGACAGAAAGGGACTTCCCTGGTGGTCCAAAGGCTAGGACTCCACACTCCCAATGCAGGGGCCCAGGTTCATTCCCTGGTCAGGGAACTAGATCCCACATGCTGCAACTAAGGATCCTGCATGCTGCAACTAAGACCAGGCACAGCCAAATAAATATATAAATGTTTTTTTAAAAAATGGACAGAAAATGAGAAGCGTGCTATTTTAGGGTAGTCAGAGCGGCTGTTTCTAAGAAGCAGAACTTTGAGCAGAAGGAAGCTTGAAGGAGGTCAGGACAAGAGCCATGCAGATGTCTGAAGAGAGATATGCAAGGCAGCAGAAGGAAGGTCGAAGGCCTTGAAGACAGCAGTGGGTTGGCATGTTCCAAATTAGCAAGGACACCAGCGTTATTGAAGCAGAATGAGTAACATGGACAAGGTCAGCAGATGACATCAGATACCCCTGCACTGAAGCAGCAAAGTCCCACTACACAGACATACACACACTCCTGGAAAAGGCGGTGAAGGCAATCCAGTTTGAATATGGTATCTTTATCAATATATAACATGAAAAAACTAAAGTTTCTTAAATTATAGAATTTAAAAATCTGCCCATCAGGGCCAGGCTGAGAATTAAGCCGTCCCAATCCTCCTTACTGAGCTCACAGGCTGATAAAGGAGAAGACACATAAATGGATCTCAGAGGAAGGGGCTGGAGCCCACAGAAAGGCCCACTCTAAGCAGACCTCTCAGGATGTGTCCAGAGTGAGGGCACAGAGGCAAGGAGTAGGGCCTGTTCTTGACAATGGCATCATTGTAAACAGCTAAGAGTGATAGCTTTGACAAAAACAATAGCAACGAACAGAGACAAAAAGACAAGGAAAGACATCCAGTTCAAGTTCTCAAAATAAACTCTATTTCATAATAAAAAAGCATCATAAGCAGTCCTCAAAATGTAAGTATTAGGCCCATACAAGGTAACTGCTTATGCTGCTAGGGCCCCACCTAAACTCCATCACTGGGAAGAATCACGGGGTCTCATTCAACCCTCACGGTAACACTGAAAGAAGCAAACCAGTGTCACAAATTCTAAGTGTGTGCTTTCAACCCTGGCCTGCCGACCATGTTCCATTACACTCTCCATTAGTGTCTTGAGGGACATACCTTTATCGTACCTTATTCCTCTCTCATTCAACTCCTTGAGATCAAGAAGGTATAACAATTAAAGACAAGGTTTTACTTTTGGAAGACATTTCAATTCTACTGGATCAACCCAATATACACTAAAAAATGTCAAGTCACAAGACGGTGCCTGACTTAATCCTTCTTTTAAATACATATATAAACGCTGAGAGGTGTGGTGTTAAGGAAGGATTCCTGGAAGGTGTGTAATTTGAATCTGTCTTTGAAGACTAACACCTCAGAGAATTAATATTTTATCAAGAAATCCAAACTGAGAAGCAGTATCCACTTACTACTTAAAGGTCCATTTTCATTACAAATGAATTCCTACAAATTCTGGGAGTTCAAGCTTCCACAGTTGATCCTGTTCTCTTAATGATGAGGTATCAGTTAAAATGTATAGATTTCTAAATGTCTATCTACCTCTGTTCTTGGTAATCATTTGCTTTCAATATTAATAGGGTGATTTCATAGTCTCAAACAAAACGTTTAAGCTAGTTTTGCATTACCCACGATGGCGATTAAAATTAGTTTCCTCTTGCTGTTCACCCGCTAATGTAGCATTGGCATGCCAACGTTAAACTTCAACGTTTATAGCAAGACTGATGATAGTCAGGTGTGTCTAGACCATCCTCAGTTTTCACAGGTTAACATTCCTCCTTAAATTATAAGCTGATTGGCAACACTGCACTATGGTTATAGTAGATGAAACATTTAAAGAGTAGGTTGGTTTCACATGGAAACTGTTACCAAGACAAACCTTTTTGTAGGATGGAGTTCCAAGAACATTAAATCATAAGAAATTGTTTCAGCAGCTGGTTAAAGCTGAGTGTACATAATACAAGACATCTGGTTGTCTGTGCATTTTCAGTTCATTTAAAAAGTATAAACACATAAAACACTAAAATGTTTGATTTATTACAACACTGCTTCCTCCCCAAGAGTGTTTAAGTGGCTGGTCTATTTACTGTATTCACAGCTTATTTACTGTCTAAAGGGATTTATCATTTCCATCCCCCTTAACTTTACCATGACATTTTATCAACAACAACAACAAAAGGCACTCATTCAGGATATATACAAAATTGCTGGTATTTGGTAACAACAAATGTAATAGAGGTAGTGCTACTTTTAAAATTAAATCAGGAACACATGAAGCACCACACATACTGTGATATGCAAATAGCAGGCAATATATGTGTTCCCCTTCCCACATCTGACCATAAGTAACAGAAAGCTAATAGCCACAGTGGCTTAACCAAAATAACTGTTTGCTCTTTTCACAGAAGGAGAAATCCAAAGATAAGCCATCTAGGGTTGGTGTAATGGTTCTGTAACTTTATCAGTATCCCACACTGCTGGGACGCTGTTCTTCGTGTGTGGCGCCCATCTTCATAGTTTCAACATGGCCCAAACACTGCCTCCACATCCAGGAAGGAAGAGAAGGGCCAAGGGCAACGGGCTGAAGGTACATGCTCTGCAAGTTCATGACTTCTGCTTACGTGTAATTGGCTCAAACTGTGTCACAGAGCCATATTTAGTTCCCAAAGTACCTGAAAACTAAGCTGGGCACACCCTGCCCCCAAAAATATTGGAGAGGAAGGGGAGAAAGGATACTAGGCATGCAAAGAGCTGTGTCTGTCACAAGAGTTCAACTTGCCTGGGACACTTTTCCCATGCCCGTCCCTGTCAGTGATTCCTCAGTTGTCTCAGTCCTACCTTCCAGGCTGCATGTCACCAGACCAAGTCACAACAGGCTTTGGTGGCTCTCATTCCTAAATCTATATTACAATTTTGGATGCTGCACTTGTGCACAACAGAGGCCAGGAGCCTGTTTTCTCACAAATACCTGTCTTTCCTTTTTGGGCCACAGGCAAGTGGCACATTTCCAACGATATCCCCACATAGACTGAGATTCTGTGATGATAAATCTTAAAAATCTACTTTTTTATTTCAAAAAATAATTCCTTTAAAATATGCATTCTCGGGAATTCCCTGGTGGTCCAGTGGTTAGGACTCCAAGCTACCACTGCAAGGGGCATGGGTTTGATCCCTGGTCGGGGAACTCAGATCCCGCATGCTGTGCAGTGTGGCCAAAAATTAAAAAATAAATAAAATAAAATATGCATTCTCGATGGGGGGGTCGAGATCACCCTCAAGAGGGTGAAAATTGGTTCTTAAGAGGTGAAAAACTTCATAGATATTATAACGATGTGTGGCCCTCAAAGAGGCCATAGCACAATACACAGATATTCAGTGTATCTGGAGTATTCAAATTTCATCAGGACTTCAGAGAGGCAATTAAGAAAAAAAGGCTGAGAGTAACTGCTTTAAAAGTAACAGACATTTTGAATCACACAGAGACTGCATTCAGCTGTAGTGACAGAAATCTAGTTGTAACAGTGTAAACAAATAAGGGTCTAGTTTTCTCACATGAGAATTCCAAGGGTGGGGTAGGGGGTAGGGGGAGGAGGTGTAGTAGTTGATGACTTTGGTTCAGCAGCTCAATGACATCAAAGCAGAATTTTCTCTGAGTCTCTTAGCTCTTGGTGCCAAGATGTTCAACACAACTCTAAAGAGACCCTGTCCACATTCCACAAAGCAGGAAAGTGGGCTCTCACAAACAAAAATATACGTATGCCTCCTAGATGAGTCAGGTCCCCTTAAGGAGCTGCACCCATAAGTTTCATTTGAGGACTTCCCCCCCACATCTCACTGACCACACATAGCTTCAAGAAAGGCTAGAAATGGAAATCTGACCTCTCCAAAAAAGGCCAGATATAGCAATAAAATCAGGAAGCAAGGAAGAAGGGGAGAACAAATAACGGGTGGAAAACTACCTGCATCTACCACATATATACTAGATTTAACTGTTTCCCTCTCAAACCCTTGTTTACAGAGATTAATTCTGTGCCTATCATATGCTCAGTATTGCTAAAGAGCTTATTTTCCCCTCAACAACATAAAATTCTTGTGGTGATGACAGGTCGTCAGAGTCTAAATATTAGGCAAGAGAGATAGAAGCAGCCCATGGATGTACATGGAGGCATACATAAAAAGCATACATGAAAGTACTACACCACAACCCACAAACTCTTCAACATGATCAATTACCATCTTCAATATACAAAGAAGATAAAACTAATCCTGGCTTAGCCAGAACTTACAAGAGTGGAATATCAGTGATTAACTGCATCAAACAGCACAGCAATTCTTCCAAAAGATCTTCTGAGTCAGAACCTGGTAAGACACATAAAACGTTTTTGAACAAAGTGTAAAATAGAATTCGGTTGTTCAGCTCATAATTTGTTTTTTTTTTTTTTGGCCACGCCATGCGGCATGCAGCTCCCCAACCCAGGATCGAACCCGGGCCCCCTGCAGTGGAAGCACAGAGTCTTAACCAGTGGACCACCAGGGAAGTCCCTAGAATTCAGTTATTTAGAAGTTTAGTTTTCATTCCTAATGAAAATAAGAATAATTATTATTACAGAAACTCGAACACTAATGTTGACCTCTGAATAAAATCTATGTCATGAAGCAAGTCAGCATCTATTATAATCTTCATCTAGTAGAGGAATTTTTTTCTTTTTTTTTTTTTTGTGGTACACGGGCCTCTTACTGCTGTGGCCTCTCCCGTTGCGGAGCACAGGCTCCGGACGCACAGGCTCAGCAGCCATGGCTCACGGGCCCAGCCGCTCCGCGGCACGTGGGATCTTCCTGGACCAGGGCACGAACCCGTGTCCCCTGCATCAGCAGGCAGACTCTCAACCATTGCGCCACCAGGGAAGCCCTAGTAGAGGAATTTTGATCACCAGCTATTTATTCTATCTCTTTTAATGCTTGAAGGTTAACTATGGCTTCTGTAGGCAAGTAGTTTTCAAGTTTCTTATACCGCACTATGTTTTTTCAAATAAAATCTGATACTAAAGTCAAATAGATAAAACAGATACAAATTCAAGCTGCTCCAGCCGCTCTGTTTGAATCAGGAATAGACTATCTGCACCTTCTCCCCCAACGAATATCTGACCTGACCCTTGATCTCCTTGATGAGCCTCAAAGTGCCTTCTCTGAACCCACGGAGCCCCACCAATCACAGAATGAAACCCGCTAAGAGGCCAACCACCTCTTTACAAAGAGCCAAAGACAAAATGGCTTTCCCAAGTCACAGAATAAGTAAGCAGCGAAGGTAGGTTACAAATTACTGTTCCAATAGAAATGCTCCTCTGTCCCAAACGTCTCTAAGCCAAGTGACCTTCTAACTTCCAAAGCCAATCAGGATCTCATGTGGCTCCTAGCTTTGGACATTACTGACACCTACTCCTTCATGAAGTTCTTTCTTCTCTCAGTCCCTATGCCTTCTTTCTAACCTACTACTTTTCCTATTCATTCCCAGTATCTGCTACCTCAGAATGCTTTTCAACATTGACATGTTCCCCCAGAATTCCACCACCGGGTTTCTTCTCTTCATGTCTCACTCCCTGTGTTCTCCCTTCATCAACCATCACTTACATGCTGGTGATTCCTAAGTCTATGGTTTTCCTCTCAGCCTCTCCACTGCACATCATATTTTTATATCTACTTACCTCCCGGCCACCTCCACCTAGATACTTCACTGGTACCTCAACCTCAACACACTCAAAACTGAACTCCTCTTTCCCAACACTTCAAATCCAGTTCTTTATTCTTTATTGTCCTTTTTGGTGACTACATCAGTAACCCAAGCCCCAAACCCAGATGATTCTCTCCTACTCACCTTTTTATAACCAATCAGTCTCTAGGTCCTCTCAATTACACAGTCTGCCCCTCTGATATTTCCTCTTTCCTTAACTCCTTGTCATTCTTTCGTTCATTATGTCATCATTTTAAACAAATTTACTAAATTAAAACTCATTCTGGAACTTCTTTAAACCTTCTTAGCTAGTATTCCTACCTCTAATTTTACTCCTCTCCAATCCAAACCCCAGATCGCTATCAGAGGGAGCTAACTAAATTCCATCCTTTCATTCTCCTGGCTTAGATCTTGTCAATTGCTTTAAGCTGATTACTACACATCAGAAAAAACTCAAAGCCCCAAACTATAGTATGTCAGACCCTGCAAGATACAAGCCCTGAATCCCTTTCTATCTTTATCTCCCACCATTACTCCCTTCGTGATTTATATTCCTGCAGTGCCAAGCTGCCTAATACATGCCGTATCATGCCTCCTACAATTACATTCTCTCTTCCTGGAATGCCCAAAAAACCTGATTTTGTTTTTTTTTTTTAAAGCCCAACTTTATCTACCTGAACCATCCTCAGTCTTCATCTCCTCCATAAAATCCAACTCTCTTGCCTCACCCTGAATAAAAATAATCATCTACACAGCATCTATGCCTTGTGCATCTGTCTGTTACTATAAATGTTGGTTGCACTATCTTAGTTTCTGACTACATGTAAAGTTGGCCCCTATTAGACTTGGTCCTTCTTCAGGGTGATGACTGACAAAGAACTTGGCACATGATACACACTCAATACGTGTTCACTGAAGTGAACACAGGCGTCTAAGTCCAAATCTAGTGGTTACTTCCAAAACATCAAAGCACTTGGAATCTCAAAACGAAGTTTAGCAATTCTGTTTTTCTAGACCACAGTATCACCTGGTATCATGAGAAAGTATGAAGAAATTCCTTCCTGCCTCGCCAAAAATAGAACTGGCACAGTAGCCCTCTGAGAGGTCAGTGCAAAGCTCGAAGAGATTACTCTTTCACGCTGAAGACACGAATCAATGCTAAAAAGAATACACAGCAAGAATCAAGTTCAATAACCACATTAAATCTCATTCTAGAAGTGGTAGGCTTATAGCTCAACTAGTGAAGAAAGTCAGGACAAGATATAACTAAATCTCTCTCTGCCAAAGCTGTCCAACAGGATCACCTTACAATGCAGGGGACGCGGGTTCGATCCCTGGTCAGGGAATTAAGATCCCACATGCCGCCGGGCAACTAAAGCCCGTGTGCCACAACTACTGAGCTCTCGCACCTCAACTAGAGCCCACGTGCCGCAAACTACAGAGCCCTCACGCTCTGGAACGTGTGCGCCACAACTAGAGAAGAGAAAACCCACACACCACCACTAGAGAGATACCCGCACACCACAACAAAGAGCCCGCGCACCGCAACAATAGAAGATCCCACGTGCCACAACTAAGACCCGACGCAGCCTAAAATAAATAAATAAATAATAAATACATCTTTAAAAAAAAAAAAAAAAGCTGTCCAACATAACCCAAACGAGTTAACAACCGGTTCCAACGAGTTGGTTTGTTGGCATGTAATACATAATACTTATTTGCTGAACTGTCATTCCTTGGCTTACCCCAGAGAATGTGGTGACCCAGACCCAGCAAGAACATTTAAAGTCACTCACTGATTCCCTAAAGAACATTTTAGACCAAATAAATTAGCCAGTTTAATAATATACCCCTGGTTCAGCCAAGCAGCCAGCACAAGGTTTTTTTTTTAATATTTATTTGGCTGCGTCAGGTCTTAGCTGCGGCATGTGGGATCTTTCGTTGTGATGCGCAGGCTTTTCTCTAGTTGTGGCACATGGGCTTCTCTCTAGTTGTGGCACGCGGGCTCCAGAGCACAAGGGCTCTGTAGTTGTGGCACATGGGCTCTCTAGTTGTGGCGCGCAGGCTCAGTAGTTGCGGCACGCGGGCTCTACATACTCAGTAGATCCCGCAGTATGTGGAATTTTAGTTCCCGATCAAGGATCGAACCAGCGTCCCCTGCACTGCAAGTCGGATTCTTAACCACTGGACCACCAGGGAAGTCCCCAGCACAAGTGTTCTAATTACAGAAGGTGAGGGAACAAGTACTCAGGACACACAGATGGTGCTTGATTAGATTTTTTTCCTTCCGGGGTGCAAACACATCTAATTTTCAAATCTTAAAATGGCGACAAGGATCCTCTCTTTGGTTCCATGTGCCATTCACATCATGACCTCAGCCAAGTTTACAGCTGGTTAATTAAGGAGTACATACACAGCTTCGTTATCAATGTAATACAATACTAATGAAAATAATGATAAATCCATTTCATACAAGTAAAGAGTAGCATTTCAAGGCCAAAGTTCTCACAAAACTAAAGGCAAGAATAAGCAAATTCCAGGTGAAATCTCCGACAACTTCCATTCACTAAAGCAAAAACGTTCTTGCATAATACTATATTCTTATTTCTGGGGCTAATCTAGAAGCAAATGATTTCACAGCAAGTGAAGAGTGACTGCTTAGCAGGTTTTACATTAAGCAAGTCACTCATATTGCATTAGTTTCCAAGCAGCATTTATATCACTTAGCTTTCATGTGAGGCCAAATATCTTCCTTAGTTTCAATAAAAACAAGTAACTATAAAACTCACCTGCCAAAAATTATTCATGCATTTCTCACAGGAAAGAGAATCTTAAAAGTCCTTGAAATTTGCAGGTTCATGACACAGTAAATTGATGTTCTTTGAGTAAAGAAATTTGCAGAGATTCAGCGTGTTTACTGTGTTGTGAACTTTTATAACCTAGAGCTGTTTTTTTAATCTCTTAAAGGGTTTTAAACTGCCTCTATATCTCCAGTTAAATATTTTAAATCATGAGCATTCCATTCTCTCCAGCTCACATTAATCTTAACAATAACCCTTGAGGAGCAGGTATGATCATCATCACTTTACAGATGGGAAATCAAGGCTCAGAGAGGTTAGCTTACTTAGAGTAAGTGGCAGAATTCAGATTTAACCCAAATTCAGGCTTCCAAAGGAGAAAAAAAAAAAAAAACCTTACAAATTACTTCTATAAAGACCTGTTTCTACAAGCTCGGAAAAAATCCAGTCAACCAATCCGTGTTTCACTGAAGACCCTAAATACAAATCCCTGGTAAGTGAGTACTCTGAGCCACGTTAGGGGGCAGATTGGAAATACCACATATTACTTTACACCTCAAGGTGACAGCCTACACATTCGCCTACACATTCATCAACACATACTCAAGTTCTTGACTTAAATATCCAATTTACAAATAATCTCAAACAACTAATAAATACAGACTCTTACTACGAATAGTTTGCCGATCAACGTCACTGAAATCCCACCCCTATCCCTGAGGTTCTCCCATTTTAAAGCCCAAATGTTACTTCCTGGGTCCCTATGAGCGTCAGCAGAGAAAGGTGCAAAGAAAGAGAAAGAAAGACAAGATTTATGGTCCCTCACAGCTCTA